CCCCAAAACCCCAAAACCCCAAAACCCCAAAACCCCACTTAAATTAAATTTAAATTTCAAATATGTCTCATTGTCTTAATAAGTTGCAAATCCCTGATACATATCTTCCAATTATAGAAGTTGAGAGGTAAGCTTGAGATACTCATACTTCTGAGTTGGTTGCTTACATCTAACTTTAGTGACACTCAGAATAATAATGTATGTGAAGAATGCACCCAACTTATACACCAAGTAAGTGACAACTGCATCTTCTGTAAATCATCTAATGACTTGGTCCAGACGTATCAGACAATGCTTGAGACTGAGATACAAACATGAGGAAGAGTTAAACCAATTCATGATGAAAATCTTCTTAGAGTAAATTGCCAGTGGTTATCTTCTAGACTCGTCAAAAACTCCGAGATTTTGTCATTAATGTCTATAAGCAAATTGCAAAATCATTGAATATAAACAAAACATTGACAGGAATTAATAGCTCAGTGATTCACATTTGAGTGACTTATATTGACATTATCCTCTCAAATCATCAGGTTTCCAAACCTGAGTATAAACTCCTTGCTCTCAGCTGTCTATCAATAGCTGCTAAATTCGAGGAGGATGATCCAAATCTCCCTTTAGCGCATGAATTCATAAAGTTTAGTGGATTAAAAATTGATAGGAAAATATTTATCCAGAAAGAAGGGGAAATCCTTCAAAAATATCTCAATTGGGATCTCAATGTGACAACTGTTTACCATTTCGCTCAATCATTAATCTCAATGGGTATTATATTCACAAACGATACTGTAAAAGGCAGCCAGATTGGAGAAAAACAGCTCAAATATATGAAGAAGAGAGTTATGTTTTTCGTAGATCTCAGCTCTGAGTGAAACAAATTGCGCAAAAATATTCTCACAGAAACTTCAGGCTTCATCAGTTCAAGAAGTAAAAGCAAGAATAAATTAATCTTCAATGATTCTATCAAGTTCACACCTTCAATAATAGCAGTTGCTTGAATTATTTGAGCAAGAAAGATGAGCAAATTTGATAATTTATGGAATCCAAAATTAACTGAATTCACAGGGTATCAAGACCCATTTAAAATAAAAGGGGTTCTTAAAGGTATGCGCATCTCATAACTATAGATTGCTTCGAACTCATGTGGGAATTCTATGTTGAAACATACAAATTCCTAAAGCAACAACAAAGTGAGAGAGTGATGACTCAAAGAGCCCAAAGGACTCAAAACTCAACGAACAACATTCAAAGCCACTTGAACACAGCTCGGAACCAAAATTCGAAATTAAAAATACCAAATCTAAATTTGAATTCTCTCAATTTTGTTAAGGAGAAGTTTTTAGAAAACAAAAACTTCCAGAGTAACTTTGTAGGATAACCTCTAGTTAAAAGTAAGATAAAATAAGTTGGATTGAAATAAGTGCGACCTACCTCTCCAAATTACCCAAAGAAGCAACATCAGGAGCCAGAAGGAGATAGAACTAGATGTGAACAACAAGATTTAAGAAATTACAACACTCTTTAAACATGAAGACTAATAGAAAACATCAGCAAAGTTATTGTCCTTCGTTCGCAAATTCTCATATACAGAAATCTGAGAGGAATCAGTGTTTTAAGCCTTTACTTCGCAGCAAGAGCGTGAAGGAGAAGATTAGAGGTCAAAACTCCCAAATACACAAAACAGAACTCTTTGCAAATGCATCAGGAAGAGGAAGGTCTACCAATCACTTCTTAGTTAAGAAGAATATGGCTTTGAATAAAAAGTCTAAAGCCCTGGTAAACCTAGAGTCTGCGATACACAAGAATATTCCTGAGATGTTTAAGAAGAGAACGCATAATCGAAGTGTAGCGGGAAGCAAGAGTTATATACACCACAATATGTCAAAGGATGTCATTGGGCCACCCAAGATAGATATTAGCTCTATTTTAAACACCAAATCTAATGGAGGATGTCTAACAGAAAGGAATAATTTTAGCAGAGATAAAGCAAATAATCCTAAAATCTCTCTTAAATCTAAAAATTTCAACTTAAAATTATCAAAAGGAAACCTTCAGAAAGTAAGGTCATTGAAAAACAAGACCAGGCAATTGAGAAAGAATTCATATGAAAATATAAATGCTAGCAAGCCCAAGATTAGAAATGACACACAAATTCCTAAAATCTTCAGGAAAATTAAGAAAGAAATCCCAATTCTTAAGATAGCGAGTGACCAAAAATGGCAGCAATATAGTGTGAAGTAATGACTACGGTTTATATTTAGAGAACTCACCACAGAATTCTCAAATGGATATGTAGACAAGAATGAAACTGCTACTACAGCTAAAAATATTAAGAAGAGAGGTGTGGAGAAGTACATCAAAAATTCCCTTATATCAATGTCAAATATGATTAAAAATACTAGCAGTAGAACTTCAAGGAAGAAGTTGCTGTCTAGTCGTAAAACAGCCAAGCAAAACTCATCTAAGAAGAAATCTAAGAATAAAATCAGCTTGCTAAATTACTCAAAAACCAGCAAGAATAGTCAGAGTAAGCTGCTTTACGAATTTTAGGCAATATTTACCAAAATTTCAGCACACAGGATATAAAGCAAAAGCCTGGTAGCTCCTACAATCCCATGTTTGTTCTGCCTAAAGATAAGAGGAGAAACCTTTGAAATAATACAAGTCTTAAAAGACTAGGAGATTCTAGTGTATTTGGAAAGAACCAAGAGAATGTCCCTCCTCAATCACTCAATACTACAAGAAACAACTGTAACCTTTTCTTTCACCTTAATAGTGAGTCAATGAGGTTTGTTCAGGCAAAGATCTACTCGCAATTTCATGAAGAATATGAAAGTGATAAATCCAGGTACTCAGAGTAAATATTTCTTAATTTTTCCTAGAAACCGACTTGGAGAGCACATTGAAGCTATACTGTGATGACCTTGGTGCCAATTCAGTGAGTCATAACTACTCAAATATGTCTTTATGCCATACAAAGAAGAGGAAAGAGGCATCAGTTTACTACAAAAGACTTATTAGGTAATTATTTTCAATACCAAAAATGTACCATGGGGTTTTGGGGTTTTGGGGTTTTGGGGTTTTGGGG